GGACCGTCCGGACGGTGGGACCGTGCTGGAATATCAACTTGCATGCATGGCTCTTTTCTTTCTTTCTATTTTCTTTTACAAATTTATTTTCTTTGATTGGGATCCTTCTTTTGCCTTTCTTTGTTCTTTTTTACCTTTCTTTTTCTTCTGCCTTTTAGTATTCTGCTGTTTTAAAAAGAGGGTGCAAGAAAATTAGATAGCAAGGTAGGTTTAATATATTTTTATTTGGCTCGGTTTTCTTTTAGTAGATAGTATAATTATATACTAACTATGATTTTTTTTCACTAGATTTTTATTTTTGATTTTATTTCAATAAATAACATAATAGCATATGAATTTTGAATGTAAAATTTATGTTCTATTATGAATAACTTAGACCCTTTGTTTGCTTTTTCGTTTTATTCTAATAGATAATATAATTTTATACTAATTACGATTTTTTAAGAAAAAATTAAATTTTTAATTTTAATTTTATTACAATAAATGATACAATAAAACATGAATTTTAGTTGTAAAATTTAAAATATTTGATATTTTATCTTTGATTGGAGTATTTTTTGTCTATGTATAATATTTTAACCTTAAGGAGTCTAAGTATTATATACCTACAAGATTTAGGGGGTCTAAGTATAATTTATTAACAAATATATTTATAATGGGAGTGTAAGTGTTACGCGTGTATAAATTTTTGGGGGTCTACGTATAATATTTTAAATGTCATGGGGTCTAAATGATTAAGTGATAAACTTCAGAGAGTCTGGATATAATTCTCATATTCATTTATTATTCGAATTTTATGGCTTGTAAGGGTAAAAAACTATTATAATGGCAAATGGAATTCAATCAAATATTCAATTTGGCACCATTAGGTTTCAACATTCCACACAAAATATGTGACCAACGAGACATTCCTAATGTCACTAGTCCAGATAGTATGGATGAACTCTTAAGTTGGAATCTCTTAAAATGCATTGTCATTCATTCAATAAACATAATTTGCAAGTAGAGTTTGTCTAATTCAGTCGGTAGAGCACAAGACTCTTAACCTTATAAAATTCTTAGAGATGGTTCTCTTGACATTAGAAAATTCTTATGGATGGTTTAGTGGTTGAATCTATTTTATGATAATTTAGAGGTCTAAAGTTTATATTTCTCATACCCTTTAAGGGTCATTCACCCTTGTTCTTTAGGAGACATGTTTTAAATCTGTTTGGACTACGTTAATCAGTATTTGAATTTGAAGGAATAGTTGACACAAGTTTGAATACTTTATAATAAAAAAAAAACATATTTTACAAGTAATTGTTGATTTCTTGAACTTTATAATGCCACAAATTTAAAGAATAAGTGATTAAAATGATTTTTGATTCTTAAAAAAAAAANTTCTTAGAGATGGTTCTCTTGACATTAGAAAATTCTTATGGATGGTTTAGTGGTTGAATCTGTTTTATGATAATTTAGAGGTCTAAAGTTTATATTTCTCATACCCTTTAAGGGTCATTCACCCTTGTTCTTTAGGAGACATGTTTTAAATCTGCTTGGACTACGTTAATCAGTATTTGAATTTGAAGGAATAGTTGACACAAGTTTGAATACTTTATAATAAAAAAAAACATATTTTACAAGTAATTGTTGATTTCTTGAACTTTATAATGCCACAAATTTAAAGAATAAGTGATTAAAATGATTTTTGATTCTTAAAAAAAAAAAGATCCATCTTGATGGATTAAATTAATGAGGATTGTGCAATGGATGCAGATCCTCTGCAGTGCCCAAGGAACAACAGGATGTGTTATTTGGTTAAAATGAAGCAGTTTTAGTGGCTTCTTTCTATTTCTTTTTCTTTTTTTTTTTCAATCAAACAACACCGTTTGAATAA